TCATTGTTAAAAATTGTATTAAAACTTGAGGAAAAAATTCAATTTTAAGAAAGATTCAATTATTCAATTAAATAATAAAATTCGTTGCAATAATAAAAATATTTTCATAAATAACATTTAATTCGTCGCAGAAAATCAATTATTTTTAAAAATTTTTAAGTAATTCTGAAAAAGAATTCAATTATCTTGATAAACAACAAAATTCTTCCCATAAAATCAATTATTCTAAAGAATTTTAATAAAATTCTTTTCCAAAATTCAATTATTTTGATAGCTATCAAAATTCATCAAAAGAATTCAATTCTTTTGAAAGGTAATAAAATACTTTGCCAAAATTAAATTTTTTAAAAATTCTCGTAAAAAATTAAATTATTTTTATAAATATATAGCGAAATTCTTCTCAAGAATTGAATTATTGTCAAAAATTTTAATAAAATTCTTGGGAAAATTTAAATTATTTAAACAAAATTGAATAAAATTCTTCGCATGAATTCAATTGTTTTAAAAATTATTATTTAAATTCTTCTCAGGAATTCAATTATTTTTAAAAATTTTAATAAAATTCTTCAAAAAGTTTTCAATTATTTTCAAAAATTGGTATAAAATTCTTTAATATAATACATTTTATTAAAATTTTAATTAAATTCCTTAAAAGAAATTAAATATTTTCAAAAATTGTTAATACAATACTTCGTAAAAATTAAATTTTAAGAAACATTTAATTATTGAATAAATTATTTATTTTTGTTTTAAATAATTGAATTCTCGTAGAATTCAATTATCATTTTTCCAACTTTTAACTAACAATTCTGTAGAATTAATTGTTTTGACAAAGTTTAATTGAATACTAATTGAATTAATTGATTTAAAGAAGAATTTTTTTTTGAAAATAATTGTTGAAAATAATAATTGAATTGAAATGATGAAAATAATTTTGAAGAAATTATAGTAACAATATTCAATTTGGAAAGGTTTGAATTTGAAATTTTTGAACATTTTAATCTTAATCCCCATTTTCCTTTAGATTCCGATACTATAAAATAATTTCCTACAACAAATTTTTTGTAGTCCTATCATTGTTGAGTAAAATAAAAAAGCTTCAGGAAGATAATAGAGTAGTGGTGGAAAAATTGACCACTCAAAAGAGCTCGTTTGTAACAATTTGCGTTCGATTTCTTCTCTTATATTTCAAACGCTTTACTTAGCGTTTCGTTCTCTATGGTTATCCCGTTAGCGGTCAACTAGGTCCCTTTAACACTATATGACGTGTCACAGTTCTATTATTTTGTCCAAGTAATTTTTTCTCGTTTTCCAGACAGTTTACCTCCAGTTTCGCGGAAGTCCACGTGGATTAACTTCGCTGAAAAATAAATATTCCCGCGCCTCGTTTCATTTATTTGTTAGCTTGACCCTTTTTTGATATTGTATGTACCTTCTACCTTGTGATAAATTCAAATTCTAATAGATGTAATTTTAGACCTAATATTTACTTTTATTTTTAAACCTACTTAAATGTTACCAATTCTAATGATCTTATTGTTTCCTAACGGTTTTCTGAATTTTTCCTCAAAGTTGATTACATTCGTTAGTGTTTAATGTTCGTCGTTCGTGATGGGACTTTGAATTTTAATGCTTTGAAGAAATGCTTAATACGTTAAGCATTTCTTCAAAGAATTAAAAATCGAAATCACTATTATTCTACAGACTTATTAGTCTGTAGCATCATAATTGTGTGGATAAAACCCTTCAATTAAATTGAATACTTAATTTTATTGTTATTGGCTAATTTCTTCAATATCAAAGCTGAAGATGAACGTCTTCAACTAATTTATCAAAGAACAGTGGAGAACATTAAAGGAAGTTCTCTCTAGGAAAGGCTTCAGCTTGTAATAGGGTTGCTGTGTTCAAAGGCTTTATTGAGTATCTTAAAAAATTGTCGATAATTTCATAATCTGATTAATTCCAGATGCTTCCTTTAATAAAATCTCGAATCAAAATTTTAAGGATCAGTAAGATATAATCGACACTCGAGAATTCACAATTTTTTATTCCAGTATATCTGAGTATAGATCGGCAATATATTTGAGATCTTGCATTGCTCCCGCTGGTAGATAATTAAATCTCGTATTCAGTAAAAGCACCGACAATAAAGGTTGACTTAGAGTTCCCCTCTCGATAAGATATGAAAAAAGAATAACGTACTCATGGAAATGCTTCTTTATTGAAATTTTCCGATGTTATCTTAAAAGTGAAGATCGATACCATCATGTTTTGCATTTGAGAGAGTATTTTTCAATTTTATCCCTTTTTTGAGGAATATTGATATTGCGGAGGGCATTGTAACAATAGCGAATGGTTTAAAACATTTTTAGTTGATGAAGAATTTATGTACTTTGCCACTTATTTTTAGACCTACGATAAGATACATACATAATTTTCTTTTTTTTCGAATTTCGTTTGGTAGATGAAGCAAATATGAGAATATTGTTGCAATATTGTCGCGAATATGTGACAGCCAACCATGCTCTGATGAGAATTATTTCCTGAGTGGTTTTTAGTGTTTTATTCATGAACGAACAAATGGTCACGTTCACGTCGTAGTATTGACATTTTGTGTACACTGGAATACGAGATGCCGAGTCAGAGGGCAAATAAACATATCCACTGTGTCCAAAATTCAATTCGTCCTCTTGCCTTCCACTCATAGCGTGCTGTACTACTGTCATTAAAACAAACAGTTATGCATATCTGTAAGAGAGTTATAACCATCGTCAGACTTCCGAAAAACAATTTTATATTTACATAATAAAAATTTTTTATGTTGATGCTTAATTTTATGTAGTTTCCTTTTTTTGAAAACTCGAAAAAGTGTGAACAGTTCCAGATTTCTGATTGATGATTTAGTCCCTGTTTTATGTGTCCAGATGTTTTTCAAAACTAACATTGTTTCTCGAATTGCAAACACAGGGCGATTGGCAGGAAATTACAAGTCGTTAAACTTACTTTTGAGCTTCTTATCAGGCATTGTATTGGAATATACAAACTGTGGTGTGTGGAACTTAGCTCTCGTAAACATGAGGCAATTTACTCGTATATATCGATCAGTTATTTGGAGTATTAAACTTTGGGATTTAGGCATTAAATAATACTGCCTTTGAAATGTGCTATATCAATGACTATACGCTGTATCAATGCTATATCAATCAATAATCATTTTGCAATTATCAACTTGGGTGGTTCGTAATTCTTAATTTCTAAATTTCTAATTACAACAAACGGACCTATTTTTCATTTCCGGAAATTCATGAATTTTAATTGATTAAATGGGCAGTTATTTCTCGGTAATACAGCATTTCCCGATCATCTGAAATAATACTACTTAATGCAATTTCAATGTTAGTTTTGGTAGTCAAGACTTTCGCGGATTTCAATGATATTCCATTTCGGAACTATTCACAAATTTCCAAACTCTTCAAACTTTCTAATCTTTCTAAACTTTTTTACCTTTTTCACCTTTTTCTAACTAATTTTAAACTATTTTCCCCACTGTAAAAAGAAAGGTACTAATTTAGTACCAATTTTGTTATTAAATCGTCATTTGGTTCTATTTTAATACCGAAAATCAGCTCTAATTTAGAACCTTTTGTTTACAGTGAACAGTACCCCACATGTTTCTTATGCTATTTAACATGGAAAAAATCTAAAAAAGTAATCGTGTCATGAATGAAATTCAGAAGCAATAACTGCGATGGAAAAGTGTGACAAGAAGAATCGATTTATATATGACATGATCGATTCTAGACGGAATACTAAAATGGCTTTTATCGCATACGTTTGCTGTAAATTTGAGAAATGATGACAGCCTTTCCGAAGCACGAAACGGGCTTTAAAATATCGTATCGCAAATGATTGGTGACTGAGTCGCTTGCTGATGAGCTCGTGTCTTTACAGACAAACAGCAATCTCTGTGCGCTACAATGCATCACAATTATTTACAGACAGTTGAATATATTCTCTCTCGCATCGTTTGTACAAAAAAAGATTACTGCGCTCCTCGAAAAAAATTTGATACCAAAAATTAATAATAAAGTTGAAATTATATCGATCACAGTATTTAAAAATTGTTTAATAGTTTCACTCAAACAATAGACTATCGCACAGTATAAATGAAATATTAATATGAAATGAATAATTTTTTATAGTTTGAAACTTGATTAAACTTTGATCATACTTTGTCGAGATGAAAGTTGTAACGAGTGAAAATATTTTTCACCTCGCTTTACCAACATCAAAGGCAAATTTTCAAGTTTTATGATGTAGACTATAGATTCACTTGAAATCTTCTTAAGGATAGATTTATGAACTGCAAAGTCGGAAAGAGGTGGCCAAAGAAATATGACCCGAGGAGAAAAAATTGTAATCGAGTAACAAAAAAGAAAATTCCTTTTCTTTATATGGAATGATTCTGTTTTTTTTTGGGGGAAAGAAGGAAACCGTACAAGGAAGGCTACAAAATAAAGCATTCTTTTGTTTCCGAGTATTTTTACTTCAAAACTTTCTGATAGTTTAAAATCTTTAGCATCATTAACATCAGTACCATTATTAGTGTCCTTAGCATCATTAACATTATTAGAATCATTAGCATCATTAACATTATTAGGATCATTAGCATTATTAGTGTCCTTATCATCATTATAATCATTATCATCATTAACATCATTAAAATTATTAGGATCATTGTCATTATTAGTGTCCTTAGCATCATTATCATCATTAGCATCATTAACATTATTAGGATCATTAGCATCATTAAAATTATTAGGATCATTATCATTATTAGTGCCCTTAGCATCATTATCATCATTAGCATCATTAACATCTTTAGGATCATTAGCATCATTATTTTGTACCATGTTATGCTAATCATTAATTAATTTTCAGAATTAATGATCTCGATTAAAATGGTCAGTATTTTTAATTGTTTAACCTTTTCTTCGCAGGATATGGAAGCATAGCTCCGAGATCGTCTTGGGCCAAGGTCGCGACAATGGGTTACGCGAGTTTGGGAATTCCCTTGACTTTGGTGTACTTATCAAGTGCTGGAGGTTTATTATCACGTTGCGCCCGGGGCGTTTTTACCCGAGCTCTCTGCTGCTGCCTTTGCTCCAATTGTGGTTATTGCTGTTACGATGAAAGACGGATGCAGGTATAGAAAACTTTATTATCCGTTCCACTTGCTTTCACAATATATTGATTATCAATATTATCTTTTAAATTCAAATATTTTCCTTTGCTCTCTCTCATTTAAAAGGACATTTTTTTTATCAACAGAGAGAAAAAAGGACATATTTTTTATCGACAGAGAGAAAAAAGGACATATTTTTTTTATCGACAGAGAGAAAAAAAAGGAAATTTCAAAAGTAATAAATTCTAAATTTCTTTCTTTTTTCTTGTTTACCATTAGGAAAAAGAAAGGCGAATGAGAAAGAAAAGACAGCAGGAGGAAATGGCACAACAGCAACAACAAATGCAACTGCAGGAGCCATTTTACGTGAGGGCGAATGCCTCAACATATCCAAATGTCGAGATAAAAGCGAGTCCAAAAGATGAGGTTTCAAGTCTTGGTTCTGGTGATAGACCGAATGTTACAATTCTTGCACCAATTAGCATATGTCTTGGGGCAATGTTGTGCTACATTGTCGCCGGGGCATTTGCTCTTCATAAATTAGAAGGATGGACTATTGTGGGTTCGTAAAATATTTATTATTCTGACTAAATACAAAAAGTGTCACATAATTAGTATTCAATGAATTGTGTGACCCTTTTTGTTCTTTCTGAGGAAAATGTAAAAAATAATGAGTGTAATTTTCAATTTATCTTTCGATATGAAGAGGAAAATTACAAGCTTGGAAATTTAACTCCCAAGAGTGAAAAGCTCTCTAAGAGAGTATAAATATTCATAAATATTATTCCCGAATCGAGGGTATTATAGGCAGAGATACTCAAATATTAAAGAAAATTGTGTGTAAATACTGTTTTGAATTTTAAATTACAGCTTTAGAATAATAAGATAGTTGAAATCTATCTGAATCTATCTTCGGTAGACACTTATTTTCATCAGAAGGAAAATTGACAATTTGTGAATTAATTTGGTCCCTTGGCATCAAAATGGTTATTATTTTTACAATTTAAATTACGAGAATTCTCAAGGACTGTGAAAATCTTGACAAGACTGCTTTTGTACTTGAATTATTGGAAAAGCTCATTAATATGCTTCGTAATTTTACTTTTTGTCTGACACATGTTCCAGTGTCCAGCAGTTTCTATGTTTCTGTGATTCATAAAATATTCCGGAGATAGACTTTTTCGACTTGTCTTTTTTTGTAACCGTTAACAACGTAAAGTTAATGAAACAAATTTCTAGTTAGTCTATAAAGATGATAAGCGTAGAAGTCTTGGACGGAGAAACATCTGCAAAAATAGCAACAAAAAAAACTTGTTAACAAAGCAAGAATTCATGTACTCTGCCAAGTAGGCATTTGGAAATGGATTTGTGGACAGTGGAGGTGCATTTCCTGGCACCGCGACTAGTCTGAAACTATTAGCAAGGCGGTCAGGAAATGTGGAGTTCCAGAACCACTAATTAGCCGGATCGAAAGCATGCTACAAAATAGAGACTTAGAAGCAAAGAGAGGAGACAGTACTTGATCCCCATCCATTATTGTGCTCCTCAGTTTGCCTGGAGTCTGCGAGAAGTTTACTTTCATTAGATGCTTTAGGCATTATAATCTATCCAGGGCAAATTACCCATTTGGGAGTGTAATAGTAGTGAATTTTGCTGAAGGGTCCTCAGGCGCAGTACCTTTTGGAGCTTTGATGCTTCAGCTACTTTGATTCACTCACAAAAACTTCTTCAGCTAATAGTCCGTTTCTAGAGATTTTTCTTTAAAGAATTGATAGCTTTAGACGAAATTAGTGCTTGATGATTCTTACGTTTTCGTAGCTTTGTTGTAAAGTTTCCTCAAGGTTTATCAGTGCTCTTCTTCTTTTTCTTCTTCTTTATTTCTTTCTGTTTCCTTTGCTTTTTTTGTTTCCTTCCATTTTTTCTTTACTTCTTTTTGATTCTAACAAAAGTTTCATAATTTATTCCTTCTAATAGTATCAATTTTTTTGATGAAGCATTACTTTTTCTTTCTAACAGGAGCTTCTAATAGTATCAATTTTTTTGATGAAGCATTACTTTTTCTTTCTAACAGGAGCTTCTAATAGTATCTCTACCTTTTTGATGAAGCAGTACTGTTGGTAAAGTTTTATCAATTTTTCCTTCTCTGTGGTTGGTGTATTTTCAGCCCCAAAATGTAGAAGCAGTAATTATCTTATCTACGTTTCTCGTGAAACGTCTCATCCCTAACTAAAAGTCTAATTTCTAGATAAACCCAAGATTCCTGAATAAAAATTGTATATGCAATTTTTGCTTCTTCATCTTCTGAAAAACTTCTTTCACTAGTAATCATTAAAAAGATTATTGAAAACAAGCAAAAAAAAAACGATTTTGTAGAATATTTAATTTTTCTACGATTTTTACTCAAGATTTATTCTAAAATATAAAAATATGCTTTCTAATTACTAATAATAATTTTGTTTAATAAATATTTAAATACTTCTTTCTTTTTCCAAAAAGAATTAAAATTTTTTTAATTTCAATTTTAATCCTTCCGAAAATTCATTATTTCTAAATAACAACTGTAATACTTTCCAAAATTTAATTATTATCTAGAATTTTTTACTAAAGTTTTTTCTCGGAATTAATTATTTTTATTAATTTTCTGAAAGTTTTTCTACAATTCAATTATTTAAACATAAAGATTAATAATTTTGAATCTGAAATAATTTAATTCTTTTATAGAATTTTATTAAAATTTTTTTAAACAATTAAATTCTTTCGAGAAATTTTATTAAAATTGTGTTTAAAATAATTGAATTCCTACGATGAATTTAATTATTTATGAAAATAATTGAATTCCTACGAAGAATTTTATTATTTTTGAAAATAATTGAATTCTCATGAAAAATTTTGCAATATTTATGAAGAATTTTAAGAAAATTATTTTGAATATAATTTAATTTAAATTCCATTAAAAATAATTGAATTCTTTCTAAGAATTTTACTACAATTTTTTTTAAATAATCGAATTCTTTCAAGAAATTTTATCAAAATTGTATTAAAAATAATTGAATTCTTGCGAAGAATTTTATTTATGAAAATAATTGAATTTTACATAAACAATTTTTGAATAACTGTATTCTTTTTAACAATTTTATTAAAATAATATAAATGAATTTTCGCAAAGAATTTTAATAAAATTCTTAAAAATAATTGAATTCTTTTCAGCCATTTTTTGAATTCGAAATAATTTAATTCTTTCGAAAAATTTCATTAAAAATTAAATAAAAAATTAAATTCTTTCAAGAAATTTTATCAAAATTGAAGTTGAAAATAATTTATTACTTGTAAAATGTTTTATTATTTATGAAAATAATTGAATTCTTGACAATAATTTTTTATTTTTTCTTAACTTAATTCAATTCTTTCGCGTAATTTAATTAAAATTGTGTATTATGAAAATAATTGAATTCTTTTAAGTAATTTAATTATAATTCTATTAAAAAGAATTGAATTCTTTCGAAGATTTCTACTAAAATTATATTCAATTCGAATTCTCTCAAGAAATTTTATTGAAATTGTATTTGAAATAATTGAATTCGTGCAAGACTTTTATTTTTTACGATAATAATTGAATACTTTTGAGAAATTCTATCAAAATTATATTGAAAATAATTGAATTGTTTCGAGGAATTCAATTATAATTAGATGGAAAATAATTGAATTTCCTTAAGGATTATAATTATAATTCTATTAAAGAGAATTGAATTCTTCATAAAAATTTTAATAAAACTGTCTTTGAAATAGTTGAATTTCTGCAAAGAGTTTTATTTTTTACGAAAATAATTTAATTCTTTCGAGAAATTTCATGAAAAATTATATTGAAATTAATTAAATCTAAGAATTTCATTAAAAAATTTTTAAATTATAAATAACAATTATTTAGTATCTATGTTAATTTTTTTTTAAATTTCTAATCTGAAATAATTGAAAAATTGAAATTTATATATTAAAAAAAAATAATTTGTAATTTGCATAATAAGAGAAAAATTGCTTTTTTCAGATGCCTGTTACTTCTGCTTCATGAGCTTAAGTACAATTGGCTTTGGCGACATGCTACCAGGTTCCTATCCACATTATAATATTCACGAATCACAGAATATAACCATCTGGTTCTGTTCCTGTTACATAATGTCAGGAATGGCTTTGACGGCAATGTGCTTCAATATTCTGCATGATGAAATTGTTCATCGACTTAACCACCAGAACGATAAGCAGGAACCAGTCAAGACCAGTCCCAGTGTCGATGAATTAACATCAACGGATCCTTTTGCCCTCACATCGTGACAATTTCCCACAAGCAATTTATGCCATAGAAATGTAACTGAGGAAAGTCTTTGCGGCGATCCACCAATCAGCATTTTCGCTCATGAAAATGAGATCAATATCCTCAAGGATTCATATAATCAGGTCGATGTTACGAGAGATTGCAAACCAATTCTCAAACTTGAGGATCATATAAGTCATCTTCCAGCTGTTTATACATTGCCAGAAGTTGATGAAGAAGCCGAGGAAAATACCGAAATGTAAAACATAAACTTCAACTGAAAGTATATATTAGAAAACAAAGAAGAAATGAAGAGTAAAAGGCGCCAAGCGTCTAATCGAGGATTTCATGGCATTTTTTATATCAAATTGCAAAATAAAAACAATCAAATTTTGTAATTTAAGGGAGTCTTAAATATTAACTATAATAGTTATTAAATTCATTTTATGCTTTTGAATTTTATAGTCACTATTTTATTATACCTATTATTTTTATCTAAAAAAAATTGGTTTTTTTTATAACCAAAAGACTATCTCTCAAAACCATGAAATCCTGAAAAAAAAATTATGTCTCAAAAGGCGTTTTCAGGTGAAGACTTCGTGCCTTCAGGATGTTGTAATGATTGTTAAGAATGATTTTTATATTGAAGATTAAAAACGAGAGAAAAGAACAGTTCTTTTTTTCTACAAATTGTATAAAATGATGTTTGATAATAGAAAAGAAATTCCTCTCGATTTCGAGTCTTCAGTATTTTTTAAATATCAGGATACATATGTATATATACAGTTCAAGAGCAATGGAAAGTTTTTTCTTATAGAAAATTAATTCTGTAAGAAAAGCAATTATATAAATACGACAAAAAGTCTCTTGCAAATAGATAAAAAATTAAGTTTCCAGGGCTCGAACCAGTGAAAGTATTTAAAAATACATACGGACTTTACAGACCAAAAAATAAAAATTATGGAATAACTACTGACAAAAATATAACCAGTCAATTCAATAATTATTTTCAAGAATTTGTATCTAAAATTCTTCTTTGAATCGATTATTCTTAATAATTTTCGAAAAAAGGTCTTTGACAATTTTTAAATTCATTTATTTACATTATTCAATTTTACGAAATTTCAATTATTCGTAAATTCTTGAATATATAAGAAAATAAAAACTTAAAATAATAAAAAGAAATTTAATTAAACTTGTTCAAAAAAATTAATTTCAAAATTCAATTATTACTAAAAATTCACGCAATATTGCTTTGAATATTCAATTATTATCTACAATTTTAAATGAAATTTATTTTTAAATCAATTTTTATTAGAAAATTCTACTAAAATTCAATTATTTAAATACAAAAATAAATAATTTATTAAATAATTGAATAATTCTTAAAATTCAATTCTAAAATTGAAAGAATTTTATCAATAAATTTTTAAATAATTGAATTCTTTTGACGAATTTTAATAAATTTTTCAAAAATAATTTCTTTTTTCGTGAAATTTGAATAAAATTGTATCAAAAATAATTGAATGCCTCTGAAATTTTTATTATTTTATGAAAATAATGAAATGTTTGCATAGAATTTTATTAAAATTTTTTTTAATAATTCAATTCTTTTGTGAAATTTTATTAAAATTTCTGAAAATAATTGAATTTCGGAGAAGGATTTTAAAATTTTTAAAGATAATTGAAATTTTGTCGAAAATTTTAAAAAAATTTCGAATATAGTTGAAATTCTGCGAAGAATTTTATTACTTTTGCAAATAATTGAATTTCTGTAATCATTTGTAATTTCTCTAAAATTCTCTGAATTATATCGTACAATTTACGAACTTTTCGTCTTTTTTCAATCAAATTACAGACTTTAGGGACCTTTTTTAAAAAAACGGACTTTTACGGACTTCCAGCAAATTTTCGAACCTTTACAGGATTTACGATTACGGACCTAGTTCGAGCCCTGAGTTTCTTACTTTAATTAATGTAAATACTTTCTTGGAAAAAATGTACGCTTTTTTCATAATTTTACCCAAAACTCTTCGAAAAGAGTTAAAAAATAAAATTTTTCTCTTTACGAAAAAAGAAAGCAGAGATTCATTTATTGTATATCTAGGTAGGAAAGCACTTTTGGTTTCATTCGGCGAAAAATGAAATACTATATCAATTTGTGAAAGAAACCACGAATGCTGTGCAACGTCCTGATGCTGAAAAAAAATAGTTATTGTCGTAACGTTTCTACGGGCCTATGTATTTAAAAAAAAAGAAGTTTTTTATACTTCATAAAATGAAGAAGTAAAAAGTAAAATTGAACCCTCATGATGTAAAATACTTTTATATATACATATATATATAGTGAATTATTGAACTTCCAATGGCGCGTCCGGCCGTTCAATATGGATTAAAAAACTTTTTTCAAAGAGGGGCGAACACGCACCTAAAGTTTAAATCGAAAGTTAGTTTCCGACTGACTGTGTCCACGAATCTCGACTGTGTCTTCCTGTCAAAATGGAATACACTTGAACTTTTTCCCCCTTTTTTTTCTTTTCTTCTTTTCTTTTTTATAAAAGAAAATTTCTTCTTTTTAGGAAAAAAAAACAATCTCTGTGAGAAAGTATCGGAAAAGAAAATGCGAATAATATAGAAGAAAAATCTTTTTCGAGATTCGACGTCCTCTTTTTAAATCATTACGTCCACGTCCGGACGCAAACACACACATACTAAGGTCGAAATCTATGCTCAAGAACAATAACTATTATATTCCTACGTTTAGATTGTAATATTGATAAATGTAAGAGAATGGCGCTTTATTCGAGTGGAGCTGTGCAGAATTTTTTACTCAATTTTTTTTTATTATATATTTTTCATATTGAAAAAATTTTATATTATCAAAAGTCTGATAAAAAAAATAACAACGGTGAAGTTTGCTAGTTTGTAATCAACGATTTAATGGGGAAAAAAAGTTATTTCTCGTTCGAAGAGCAATTTTTCTTTTTTTTAAATAATTGATCAAAAATTTGTAAACAGGAATTTTCGAAGCGAACTTTTATGAAAAATTTGCTTAGAAAAATATTTTTTTTCCAATTTGTTGATTATGAACGTTGCAAAATTCACCGCAGTGTTGAAAATAATTAACAAATTTTTTGTATATATTTTTACATTATTGTTTTCTAGTCCAATCGAATAATTATTTTATTTAGGATGAAGAAAATTTTTTTCGATTTTCGAAGATGACGAAATAAATTAAAAAAGAAATTTTGTAAAAATTATATTAAAAATAATTGAATTTTTGTCAATAATAATTATTGATTTTTTTCAAAATATTTGAATTCTTTTGCAAAATTTAATTATAATTATATTGAAAATAATTGAATTCTTTCAAGGAATTTAATTATTAATGTAATGAAAATAATTAAATTCTTTAGCGGAATTCAATTACAATTCTATTTAAAAAAAAGAATTTTTTGAAGAAATTTAATTATAATTCTGTCTCTAAAAAATAATTCAATTTCATCATCTTCCAAAATCGAAAAAGAAATTTTTATAAATATCATAATGGAAGGAAAAATTAATTCCAATGATTTATTATTTATTAAAAAAATTTTATAGTGTAAAAAAGTTGAATTACATTTTAAAAATTGTTTCTTTTAAACACTTATTATAAGCAAAACCTCAGGGCAACGATTTTTCTATTTTGATATATTTAATTGTTAACGAAATTTTTTAATGGTATTTTTAAACTGAAATTTTTATAATTGATAATTAATATTTGATAATTGATAATTAATAATTAATAATTGAAAATATAAAAACGAGTCACAATTTCAATTTGTGACATTTTTTTATTAAAAAATTCAGTAAAAGAGATGTTTAAACAAAAAAGACTATATCGAGTTTATTATAAACAATCAGTGAAAAAAAAATGAAAATCTTCGTCCCAATTAAATAATAAATTTTTATTCTCTCACTGAAAAAACAATTTTCTGCTCTTTTTTTTACAACACTAGAATTTAATATCACATTCTCTAGACTATAAAGAATAATGGATTTATTCTATCACTCAGTCGTATTAAATAGTAAGAATTTGATGTAATCGATCACACTGAGTCAAGGACTCAGTGTGATCGATTACATCAAATTCTTACTATCTAGACTATAAAACTAAAAAACTGTAAAACAAATTTCAGTCAAGATTTATTTCACCTTTAAATTGCGAAATTAAAAAATAATGCCACAGCTCTACTCGTGTTGTTTATTATTAATACTCAAAGACTGCTATCGCAACGATAGCTGTAAAATGTATACAATTTTAAGGAATCAATGTGTCAGCAGATGTAAAATAAAATGAAAAAGAAAACTCCAAAAAATTTTCTTTTTAAAAAGTGCGTGTAAAGTGCGTTTACAAAAAAAAATGTTTTGTTTCGCTGCACATGATAAATCGACTGACCACAAGTATAAATAAAAAAAAATAACGCATTAGTCTCCTAGAAAGGCCACTTTCGTTTATTAACATATCATACGATAGGATTTGTGAGATGTTTAAAACATAATTATTTATTGAAAAAAAAGGAGAAAGAAAAAATTATTATAAAATGCAGTTATTGGCAAAATTGCTCTGTAATTAAAAAAAATCTTTTTTATAGTGTTCTATGAACATTGTGATTCTGTAATTATCACTCAAATGTCACTGATGATTGTTAAAAATGAAAATTGTGTGATTTTTTGTGTTCCTTGTGGCAGAAATGAGAAGAATGGCAGTCAATAGTCTCCATTGTTTAAGAAATAAAATGTATAATAAATATATGTGAAATGTAGTTTTTTTTAATCGTTGATAATCAAGTTTTTATGATTATAAATATTATTTTTGTATTTTATAATTATAATTTGTTGAATTATCAATTTTGCTACCTCGTGTTGGTAGCTATTTTAGTTATTTTCATATTTATTATATTTATTATATTTTTACTATCTATTGAATTATACTTTATAATTATTTATTCAATTCTACGTTATAATTATAATTTATTAAATGACGTTATTTATTAATTAGATTATAATTTGTTATATTACAGTTAATATAATATTTGTAACAATTTTTCGAAAATTGTTATATTCTCTTCGGCTTGAAATTTACATTTTTTTATCAAATTATTGAATTTTGTTAATTAAAATCCATTTTTGTTTTTTTGGATTTTAAAACTTCTGTTGCGTTTGAATTTTTTTGAGAAATATTTGTGCACTGAAGGAAAATTTTCTTAAATTCACTTTTCGTGAGTTGAATCTTTTTTTTGAAAATTTTCTTTTCGTTTTTTGATTTCGTTTTCTTCTATATTTCTTCAGAATCTTTTCTTTTATTTTTTTTTAAACTGATCTTTCTTACAAACCCATGGGAAATATAACCAAGTCCAAGACATTGTGGTGGGGTTCGGTTCGAAAACTTTGCCTTCAATTTTACGAGAGAAATTCCAATGAAACGCCATGGGAGATATTTTTCTCGTTGTACGTCCTTTGCTCATCCTGCGAATAAATGTTCTTCTTTCGATTCTCCTTCACGTACATATAGAGAGAGATGAAGATATAGTATTATACGAATCGCGCGCAGTTAGTAATGAAGTTACTTTTGTCACTTTATGGCAAATGCTCCAACGAAGCGAATCACAATCGAATGCCGGGGTTGAATCACTGATATGCCGCCTTTTTTCTTCTAAATGTAAAGTTACCTTATACTCAAAGCACAAGTTCCTTATTCGTATAAAGTGAGTTTCATTTTGTTCGAGTCGATTTCGTTTTATTTGCGTCTAGCTCAGCACTTCAGTTTTCGCGCTTCGATAAGACTTTTATTTTCTCTTCGAGACTCGCAAAAGTGCAATATACCAAATATCAAAAGAGAAGAATGCGATTATTGTTGATTCAATGCGTGAAATTGTTCAAAGAGTTTCGTTTTATTTGCGCAATTTTTTTTTGTTCAGCTTCAGCTTCAAATCTTATGTTCCA